GGCCTTTGGGCTTACATATGCTTTTCATTTTTTCTCATGATGACCTGAGATGAAAGTTATCGTCCCTCTTTTTCAATATGAGTTCGGAAGGATTATAAACCTTGCTTGTGGTCAGATAGCTAATAACTGGAATGCAGGATTAGAACTCATGTCCAATGGTCATAGCCTAATTTCTTTCTGATGAAGTACACTACCTTTTGTAGGTCATGGATGAAACTAGTATAGGTGCCAATTAGGCTGTATGAGCCTTCAAGCAGGACATTGTTCAATGATGTCCTACCTTCTTTTATCCAAGTCATATTCAATAAAAATTATGTGTCAAGCTGGGAGTTGGTGACTCATGCCTATAATCTCAGTTGCTCAAGAGGCTGAGATCTGAGGATCATTATTTGAAGCCAGCACAGACAGAAAAGTCCATTGGACTCATCACCAATTAACCAGCAAAAAGCCAGAAATGGAGGTATGACTCAAGTGGTAGAATACTAGTCTTGAACAAAAAAGCCAAGCAAGAGAGTGAAGGCTTGAGTACAAGTCCCAGTCTGGGCTCTAATAGTAATAGTAATAACAATAACAATAATAACAAATTATTTATATATGATAAATAATAAATTATTATTATGTGCCAATGGTTTATTCATTTCTATCCTGTTTCTAGACCCTGACCAAAATTGTGCTAAGTGATACTTCTTTAGTTGCTTCTAGAATTGTGGCCTCTAATGTAGTAGGTACATGGTATATTGAGATATATGTGAAATGTGATATAAATGTGAAGTGTGTGGTGGATTTTATGACTAGAAAGAAATATATGGACTATTCCATAATAATCATTTTTTGTTAGATACATGTTATGATGCTTTTTTCATATATTGAGTGGAACTGGGAAATTGATTAGCTTCATTTATTTTCCCCTTTTCAATATGGGTACCAGAACATTGAAAACTATGCACCTGGCTTGCATTATAATCCCATTGGACAGAATAGTGTTAACCCAACCTCTCAGAGCCTTAGCTTCTACTCTGAAATGGCCCCTTCCTACTTACAGGAAGGAGAGACAGAGGAGCTGTGTAGGTGGAGGGCTGTTGGAAAGGTGGTGAGCGATTTCTTCTAGTAACTTTGGGGAAATAGTCTTTGCAAGCTTGAAGTCTCTAGGACACTGCAAGGCTATATTAGAATTCCTGTGATAATTATTGCTGTAAATCACAGAGGAAAAGCAAGAAGTGGAAAATGTATCCTTACAATGAGATCAACAGGTAACAAACCTACTAATCCATAGTGATCAATTCAATAAGCAAATGTGCAATGTGGGTGCACACACACACACACACACACATTCTTTCCCAGGTTACATTAGCCCTGAGATAGTCTTTGCAGGTAGCAAATTCAGTTCAAACCCTCAGGTCCGTCCCGTTTTTCATCTGTAAAGCAAGGTTCTAGATGCTATATCCCTGTAAGGACATTCAGATGAGGCATTTACTCATATTTTATTGTCCACCAGCACAGCAAAGGGAGGGAGCTCCTCAGACTCTGTGCACAAATGAAATATGCTTCTACTCTTTGCAAGCTCTGTGACTTAACTTCCTTGTCCCTTCATTTTTCTCACCCATTATAAGAAGAACAAAAGCAGTTCTTTGCCTTTTAAGGTTCTCATAGTGTTGACATGCATTAGAACATATCAAGGGCTTAGAAAAGAGCTTGGAAGAAAGCTGGCACTTTACTCATATTAGCTTTTCCTCCTTGTATGATTACATTCAAGTTACCTGATAACTTTTTCATGAACCAACACCCACCCACATGTATACACACTAGCTTGTTCTGGTAAGGAATGAATTCTATCCAGATCCGTCCATACCGCATTTGTTGGGACTTAACAAGTCATATGTTTTTCAGAAGGGAGGAAAGGGAAAGGGGAGCTAGGAAGGGGAAGTGAGGGTTATGCTCGAACATAAACAAAATATGCCTTTCCCTCTGAGAACTTTCCCTCTGAGAATTTTGCACAGGTGAGTGAAACCCTCCCTTCCAAGGTCCCTCCCTACTCTGCCCCCCCCCAATTTCTCTCTTGCTCTTAACAGTATTTTAATGGCAATCTAAAAAGCCCTGCTGGTCTCTGGAACCTCTGATCTCCAGATACTTCCACAGGGCCCCTGCCAACTCCTCCCCAAATTCTTTAAGTGGAGAGCTATGTAGAGGGGAATCTAGAGTCTCCAGCTGTGTTCAGGCCCTGCTGTTAGTTGTGGGGATGTGGAGATGATGTGTAAATAAGGCCTTGTTTGATAACACAAAGGTCTTCACTAGATTATGTTTTCTTCAGGAAGGGGCTTGGTGGTGACAGGAGGTACAGATACTCATATTTCCATTTTCAGAAGCATTAAACTGATACGTAGACATATCTACGGTTGTTGTGTCATTACGTATTGTAATTACAGTATGTCAAAAAAATCCAGGAGTATTTGGGAGGAAAAACCAATAGAAGGCCTAATGAAAGGAGAAGGTGAAGGGGGGTAAATAGGATTGGAGCGCTTCATACACATGTATGAAAATAGAATAATGGAACCCAATAAATTATGGATATATCACAATAATAGACTGAAGTTAATGAAGTGTGAATGTGTGTGTGTACGCACACATGTGCATGCCTGTGTTGAGCATAGGCAGCAGACATATCTGGTTTCACTCATCATTAGCTATTCCCTTCTTGCTAAACCTCAGCTTGCTCACCTGTGAGCTGATACTTTCCTCCCATGGGTAGTATAAGTTTGGAATAAGATAGGCAAAGTTTCAGCTGCAGGACCTGGCACCACTACCTTGATAGGTAGGTGTTGATAGGTAGTAGTTTTCCTCTTGAAATTCAAGGAAGTTGTATACCAGGGACCCCCAAATTCAAAGCCAGACAGAAATAGCCCTGAATCCTCTCTCCTCCTCATGTGTGTGACTTTAGGCTTCACCCCAGCATGACCTTTCCCCTCTTCTGCTCTATTATCTACCTTCCTCATCCCATCTCCCTTAAGCCTTGTTGGAGCAGAGCAGATTGTACAACAACATTGAGAGAATGAATGAATGAATGAGTAATAAAACCTTGCTGGAGGAAGCAGTAAAAATGAGTAGACTTTTTGTAATACTGAATGCCATTTGAAATCTGAGAAAATTATGTAGTAAATCTTTCGGTGAATGGAATGTAACACTTTAATCTATGCTTTTCTTTTCCTCAGGTGGAGGTTTACAAATAAATAATGAGTTGGCAGGGTACTTGATTCAAAAGATACAAAGAGTTGATGAGACAAAATGGCCTCCTTCTATCTCATAATTCTCTGCCCGGGACAACCTCTTCTACCAGATTCTAGGATCTCCTGCTGGAGACAGTCTCTTCTTCAGATATCTAATGGTCTGTCCATTAAAGTTCTCACAAACCAAGTCCCTCTTCCCGCTTCCCACACTCTCACCCCACTGTGCACAGCAGCTCGGTCCTCCTGTTTCCTCTGAGAAAAATGTTCCTGGCCTTTAATCCTCCTCTGTCCAAATCTTACTCTTGTTTTGATGAATAAAGTAGTGAAAGCCACACTGGAGGTGGCATTCCAGGTCAGCCTGGACTCTGTGGTAAGACTCTGAAATCCAAGTATGTCTGATAGCCAAGATCAAGTTCTTTTATTCCAGGACATTGATTGTGAAAAGGGGTTTCATTTCCATACATGCATCTGATGTACTTTATACCAAAGTCAACCTCCTACCTCTAATCTTTTAAATGAAACCAAAAATGACTGAGAGCAGAAAGGTCGTGATAAGAACTCCCATCCCCCTTTCTTCAGAGTTAATGACTTATTCTTATTGTGGCACAATACCTTCCATTTTATTTTCTTTCACCTTTTGATAACTAACTGTTCACAGTGTAGGACTTCATTGAGCCTTTCCCCTGAACATTCCTCTCTCCAGGTGTGTCTGTGAATTACCTCTTGTACCTATCCCTTTTCTCACCTGGCAACACAAGCCCATACCTCTCTCTTTCCTGTGCTATCCCCAAGTTTCCTAGATGCTTGCCCCACCTGGTACCCACCCTAGGCCTGGGTGTTCCTAGAGCCTCCTAACTGGTTCATACACAAAATCAATTATTTCTCTTGCTCCAGAACTTCCTGTGACATTCAAGGCACAGATCCGTCACTCTATTCTTCCTCAGCTGGACACTCCAAGCCTTCTACTGTAGGCTCTCAAATGCTCTTTTCAGCCAGTCCTGTACTTAGTGTCGTCTCTCACTGCTGCACTCCTATCTCTAGGGGTGGTCTACAACAACCTCTCCTTGGAACTCCTTTTTTTTCCTATCCCTGCAGTCCTATTCATCCTTCAGCTCTGACTTAAATCTCCTCCATAAAGCCTTCCTAGGCCCTCTGTGTTGAAATGAATTGCTCTCTCCTATATTTCTGGCCTCTCATTGCATGGTAAACATAAGCCATGAATTAGGTTTAAGACTCCTAAGGATCCCATTTGTCCCCCTGACTAGCTTATGATCCTCTGACTGGTAAGGACTTAGTCACATTCATCTTTCTGTCTCCAGCGTCTGGCCCCAGCCTGGCACGTAGTAAGCCCTTGATTGAAATGTGTGTGAAATTAGGTTGCTGGGAGTGTTTAGAGTTAGGCCCATCATCCACAGCAACAGAAGGACTCCATTATTTAGTGCCCACTGTGAATGTGGCATCTTGTATATGGGGTCTCTGTTCATCTAGGGCCAGCTTCGGCAGGATAACCAGTTATTGCTCTTGCCTCAGGGAGGAAGAACCCAGAGCTCAGAAGGATGAGGTAGCTCCTCAAGGTCATACAACCCAGGAGGTCACGATTGGAACCAAAATCCATCTCAGGGAAGAGCATGAACTCCCTCCAGAAAGGAAGCTGATTCCTGGGTCATTGAGGATTTAGGGAGAAGTCTGGAGACAGGTTGCTGGTGTGTGGGCTGGCACAGTGGTGTATCAAGTTTCTGGATTTGGGTGGAGCAGACTGACAGGTTGTGTTTCTTGCAGGGGGAATCAGCTTTGGAAGAACCAAGGGGACCTCAGGTTCAGAGGCAGATGATGAAACCCAGCTAACTTTCTACACGGAACAGTACCGAAGTCGACGTCGCAGCAAAGGTAACAGTCCTAGGGAAGGTTCCAGAACCCTGGGGTACAAGCAAAGCTTGGGGAGCAGATTTCATGATGATGTCAAGCATTAATCAACTTGGCTGACACTGAACTTGGCACCCACTGTCTGTCCAGACCAAACTACTTGTCTAATGACCTTCCTTACTTCCTTTACCCTGCTCCATTCTGTATTATTTATCCCACATCATTTCTCAAAGAATTGGGGGGGGGTGGAATTCAGTTTAAATCTATGTAGTTTTTTTCTTTTAATTAAGAATAGGAAATGAAATAACTCTTGGCAAGAAAATAAGACTGAAAAAAAATTATTCAAACAAGTTAGGTTGGTGCAGAGTAACACATGTCATGCTGTATTAGGTAGAAGAAGGAGATACAGATTTAACTCTGAGGTTCCTAGCAACTAAACAGAAAAGAGAGCCAGGCATGGTTGACTTTTTAAAATATTTTTATTGTAAAGATACTGTACAGAGGGGTTACAGTTACATGAGTAAGGCAATGAGTATATTTCCTATCAAGCATTGTTACCCCCTCCTTTGTTTTTTCCCCTACCATCCCTTCCTGCCCCACCTCCCCAACTCTTCCCTCCCTCTTCCCAAAGTTCTAAAGTTCGTTTTCAACATAGTGTCTTGTACATCTCATTGTTACAATGGGTCAACATGTATCCTTATTTCAGGATTTTGTTATTTCCCTTCCCCTCCCGAAATTAGAAAAAGAATGACACCATCCCATTTGTTAGGAAATGGAAAGATTGGAAAAAATTATATTTAGTGAAGTAAGCCAGACCCAAAGAAACATAGGTCCCATGGTTTCCCTTATTTGCAATAATGAGTATATGTCTAGGACAAGCAGAAAAGGTCAAAAGATATGTACCTATGACCATGTAAGATGATGCTAAGTGAAATGAACTCCAAGACAGGCATGGCTGACTTACAACTATAATCTTGATATTCGGAAATCTGTTATCCAGAAGATCACTGTTTGAAGCCAGCCTGGGCAAAAAGTTATTAAAACCTCAGCTCAATCAATTAAAAAAAAACTTGGCACAGTGATACAGACCTTTCATTACAGCTACATAAGAAGGTGTAAATAGGAAGGTCATAGTTCAAGGTGGCCAAGACAAAAAGAACCGATTTGAAAAACTATAACTAAAGCAAAAAGGGCTGGAACACGGGTCAAGTGGTACAATATCCAGTTAGCAAATGATAGGTCTTGAGTTCAAACTCTAGTACCCCGCTTCCCACACACACAATGCAAGGAGACATACAAGTAAGTAAAATGCATCTAGGAATTATGGGATAGAACCAAGCATTTCACATGGCATTCTATTTATCTGACACAGAGACCAGAGAGAAAGTACTCCACTCGCTCTTGGTAAACAAGACAGTATGTGACTTTCTATACAGTATTTTCGACAGGTAACAAAAAATCAGTATTGATGCATCATTATCTCTCACGATGACACTCAACGTAAGGTGATGTCAAAATGCTGGAACTATGCCCTGTAAGCAGTTCCATCTCATAGCCCAAGCCCATTGTTCTGCGAAGATTCAATGTGTGGTATATGAAAATGCAGCATAATGTACACAATCACCAGTGAGTGCCATTTCTCCTGTCTTTATCAGAATAAGAAAGTAATGGGTGTGAGATTGCATTCATAGAAGCAACCATGGAGATACAAATAGGTATTCCACACCAGAAATTTGGGAAGAATTCTGGTTTTTGACCACTCAGTGAAAGGAAGGTCCTTAGTCCCACACAAAGGCAATTAATCAAAACATGTCCGTGGATGTGTGGGCTGACATTGCATGAGGTCATGGGTGGTTATCAATATTAGTTATGATGTTAGGATTATGGCAAACCTTCTGAGAAGAATAAAGAAATATCTGAAACATGGTGGCTCATGTCTATAATCCTAGTTACTCAGGAAGCCCAAAACTGGACTGTTTGAAGACAGCCCAGGCAGGAAAGTCCATGAGACTCTTTATCACCAATTAAGTACCAAAAGAGTTAGAAGTAGAGCTGTGGCTCAAGTGGTAGAACACTAGCCTGGAAGGAAAACAGTTCAGAACAGTAGCTACACCCTGAGTTCAAGCCCCAACACACACACACACACACACACACACACAGAAGGAAAAAGTATCTTTGTTACCAATACTGCATGCATTTTACTCATTTGTGATAGATATTCAGAAAGCATATATATTGTCTAGCTTTTCTGGGCTTCTTTTGTTCTTGTCAAGTTATTTATCTTGTCTGTGTTTCAATTTTCTTGTCTGTTCAATAAGTCTTGTAAACTACCTTATGGAGGTAGGGGTGCATTTTGATTATATTCTATTTATGATGGTACCTGTGCCTGCCAAGGGGAAAACCAGGGTAGAAAGTAGACAGTACTATTATTACCATTATTTTTTACTATTGGTATTGTGTGGGTGGTATGAGCCACCCCCTCAGTCCCTTCTGCTTGTTTGTCAGTTTATTTTTTCACATGAGGTCTTTTGCTTTTGCCCAGACTGGCCTTGGACCATGACCCTCCTAGCATTGTCCCCCATATAGTGCCTAGATTATTTTTAAGATAAAGTCTCACTAACTGTCATACTTTCTGGCCTGGAACTTCAATCCTCCTATCTCTGCCTTTTGAGGAACTGGGATTCCATGCATGTGCAATTTCATCTGGCCAAGGTACACACTGGTAATGTCAGTTTATTTCTCAGCGCTGCTGTCACTCTCTCACTACTAGTCCCATGCAGGGGCCCCATGTGAAAACTTGGAATGACCCATTCATTCCTGGGCAGGATGTTCAGCCTCTGCTCTCAGAATAGTGAGCTCTTCCTCTCACTCACTCCATCTTGTACCTTGGCTTTCTGGAATCTTCCGCATTAGACATTTAAAAGTTGGTGATCCATGCTTCCTGGCCTAGCTGCTCTCTCCCCTATTCTTGCAGACAGAATCAGTGCTGGGGAAGTGGGTGGATCACCTTGGTGGGACTGGGTTATTTACAACTAATTGAAAAAAAAAACATCCATCCGTGGGGCCTGGCCCCCATAAATTGGAGTGAAACTGGAAAAAGACATGCAAAAGTAAGCCACAGGATTCAAACGATTTGGCATACTGCCACCTGACACTGCAGAATGCCAGAATGGTTTCTGGAGACTGAGAATGGGCTGTGACTCTTCTCCATTTCCCCCCCACCCCCTCATTCTGCAGCCAGCAGATGCCTGAGCCTCTTACTTCCGTTCCATTCTCCACTTACTTACACACCCTCTGCCTCGAGCCCTGGTGTCTGCCACCTATTCCTCTTCCTCCTCTCAGTGTCTTGGAACTGTTTTGTTGGTTTGTTTGTTTGTTTCCATTTCTCTTTTTGGTTCTTCTTTCTTCACTCCAGTCACTTCAGTGACTGCCTTCCTCTGATTATTCTGTGTTTTCTTCTTACCTGCTCTTTACCCTTTCCTTCTCATCTTATTTTCTCCTCTTCCTCCTTTTCCATTCTTCTCTCCAGTTATTTCCTGACAAATATTTCCTTTCCTCCCTTTCTCTTTCCACACACACATTCTACAGACATTTGTCCAGCACAAAATGTCGGTGCATATGTCTGCACTTGTTTAAAATCCTCACCATTGTGGAACTTGGGTAATATCAAAATACTCCTACATTAGATTGTGGCAGAGGCTATAGAAAAAGAGTGAAAGGAAGAAAGCTGAGAGGGAAGAGAAGGAATTCATGCTTAGATCCCAGAGCCTAAGCACCATCCTCTGCCTAGGATCACAGACACTTGACATTTCTCTTAATGTTGCACCTTCTCCTTGTACTTGATCATGTTTAAGTTGTGGGTCTTGCTGCAGCTGCATTTTCTTTTCATAGTTTTTTTTTTCCAAAAACAAGGGTCTTGGTGAATACATGGTATTGGCAAAGCCTCTGTTCCCCAAGCAACCTTAGAGCCAGTGTCTAGTTCAGTGGGCAGCATAGTTCCCTGTGACACAGCTTTGACCCCTCTTTGTTCTTTCTTATACTTTGTACAGGAGCTGGGAACCTGCAGCAAACAATGTACAGTTACAGAGGTGAGACTGGGTAGTCAGAGAGCCCTCAGGGATACAAAAGCGATGATGTGGATCATAGATAACATGGATTCTGGTCTCTCTCTCTCCCTCCCTCCCTCCCTCCCTCTCTCTCTCCCTCCCTCCCCCGCTCTCTCTCTCTCTCTCTCTCTCTCTCTCTCTCTTCTCTGTCTCTCTGTCTCTCACACACTCTTAGTCCCCTTCCTTATGTCCCATGAGAAAAATAGAACGGTTGTTAGAATCTGCCAGTCCTAGCTGTGACTTGAACTCATCCTCTCTGTCTAGGGCTTGGGTGGGCTTCTAACCTCTGGTCACTTGTCTTTGTAATTTAGAGCTGTTAACACTGATCTCACAAGTGAACAGGTCTAGAAAACGAAAGATGACAACCACCCCTAGGTGCTCAATAGAGATCTGATCTTTCTTTCCACATTTCCCTCTTCTCAAACTAAATGTGGTTAAAAAAATATATTGCCCTCCCCACCCCATTGAAAAAGAGACCTGTGGTACAGTCTGAGAGAAAGCAAGTGCTTTGTAGAGGGAATGGAATTACTTGGTAAAGGCACATAGTGTGGCCAGGAAAACTGTATTTCAAGGTGGTAACCAGAGTAGTCAACAAGGTGATTGAAAAGCTAGGCAAAGGGACTAAAAAGAGGGTGTGTGTGTGTGTGTGTGTGTGTGTGTGTGTGTGTGTGTGTGTGTGTGGTGGCATTTCTTAACTAAGGGATGAGCAATACTTTTTTAAATTTTATTTTATTGTAAAGATGCTGTACAAAAGGGGTTACAGTGACATGAGTAAGGTAATGAGTACATTTTGGATAGTGGGAGAACAACAAAGGAAAGGGTGGCAATATTTTCTACAAAGGGCCAATCAGTACTTTTTTGAGTCCTGTAGAATATATAATCTGTGGTAGAACTACTCATCTTTTCTGTTGTACCTTG